CTCCTGGTCTATAGTAGTGTTCCATTCTAAAGTTGCTTTGTTGATTCAAGTGGATACTATTTTCAGTGATAAAAGTTGAAGTCTCCCACTATTACTGTATGACAGTCCACTTTTCCTTTTATATGTAATAATCAACATTATATAATTGGGTGCTCCAGTGTTAGGTGCATATATATCCACAATTTGCCTCAGAAAGGCTCTTATTTTGTCAAATGTAGTAAGGCTTTTTTGATTTCCTGAAGTGGATAGTCTGTCTTTTTTAAGATTTAGAAAGTTTACAGCAATTACTCCACTTAATAGTTTTGTATGCCTTTTCCCCTTCTAGTAACTTGCTTAATGGTATCTCATAAATCTTAAGAGGCTTTAAAAAAACTTTTTTTAAAACTGGACTAGGTTATTTTAAAAGACCTTTCTTTAAGCTCAGAAATCCTTTTTTCTGCCTGATCTGTTATGCTGTTTAGCTCTTAACCATTTTTTTTTTAACTTCAGTTATTTAGTTCCAAATTAGTTTGGTTCATAGTGATGATCTTCCTAATTCCATTGAATTGTCTGTCTGTATTCTCTTTTCTCACTAAGTTTCTTAAATCATTCTTTTGAATTCTTTGTCAGGCAATCTATTGATTTCCTTTTATATAGCATCTGTTTCTTTGTAGACATCATATTACCTTTTATGTTTTCCATACTTCCTGTGTCCTTACTTTAATATTTGTGCACTTGGTTGATGAAGTGACTATCAATTTTATTGGGTGGCTTTCAGAGTAACAGATTTTCTCTTGGTCGTATGTCTTAGGACCTTGGACAGGCTATTTTGACTTTGATTCCAGGTAGATGTTATACTGCAGTGTTTGTGCAGCTTCTTTAGCTGTAATCATCATCAGCATTGTCTGCACCTGATTCAGTGGCTTAGGCTGCAGAGGTTGTGGGCTTGCACTACCAGCTGGGATCAGATATTTTAGGTGGGGCCTGTTTTCTGGCAGCTCTAAATGCCCATCAGTTTCTACAGGCTGCATGGAAAGAGTGCTACCATTGTGGACTCACATGAGTATAGCACAGTGTGCCTGGTAACAAGGTATCCATCAGTGTCTGAGGATTGCATGGGGATAGGCCTCWCCAATGGGCCAAAACTGTGCACCTGTCAATGTCTGAGGGCTATGCAGATGAATTCTCAAAATCTCTAGAAACCAAATGCTCAGGGTAAATTGCCTAGCTCCTTCCAGGGACTAGTGGGAAGGGGGTATTTGGCTGTTTTCTAGAACCCTTGATAGGCTAGGCCACTTAGGGAAGGCTGCTTCTCAGGATCATGGATGGGTAGGCAAGGACATTCAACTCTTCCAGGGGCTCTGCAGACAAAGCTACTCAGCACATGCTTCACAGCTGCTTCCTGAGATTGAAGGTGTAAGCAGGGACATCTATCTGATTTCAGAGCAGCAGGAGCATGGGCAAGGCCACCTCATGATCTCCCAATGACCCTTGCAGGGCAGAGTCACTCAGGGTGGRTTGCCCAGGTGTCTCCTAGGGATATGGGAAGGTAAGTGGAGTTACCCTGTTGGCTCATAGGACTTAGGTGGCTAATTTGCCAGGGGCAACTTTCTAGAATCCTGGGTGGTAGTCTTAAGAGGGCACTCAGCAGGTGCCTCAGCAGGGAATAGCACAACATGGGCTGGGTTCTTTCTCAAGGGCCAGGCAGTGTAACCTGGTAGCTTCCAAAYTGGACTCAGAGCCTCTTTGTTTTTTTCCTTTCCTTGCTGAGCAAAGTCTTCCTTGATTCAGGACTGATCTGGAGAGACTGGATGAAAAATGCAGTGTGCTTAGTTCCCTTCTTTAGATGGGTATGTATCTCTGTGCTCCATAATGTTTCTGTCCACGCAGCACTCCAGTAAAATAGCTGTTTTTCTTTGTTTTGATTCTTGTGTGAAAAAGAAAGTGCAGTAGTCACCTCTAGTTAGCCATCTTGCTTACATCACCCTTGGGAGCCATTTTAAGTAACAAAACCATTAACACAAAGCACAAAAATATAAAAACGTGATACTACAAAGACTGAAACTAAAAAAAGGAACCTTGTTCAACCAAGGTATGTACTGGGAAACTCAAATTTTCTGCATGTCCACAAATGACTGTGACAATGCCAATGAGTGTTGTCTTTGGAGTTACAAATAAATTTTACTGGGCAGATAAATTCACAACTATGGTATCTGTGAATAATGGGCAACAACTATACATAATTCATTTGTAAAAAAAAAAAAAATCTAGAAACACTAACAAACCTACCTAAAGAGGCAAAAAGAAGATTAGTGGTTGCCTAGGGATGGAAATGAAGGCCAGGAGGGAGGAAATACAAAGGAGCAGAAAAGACTTTTGAGGGTAATAGGTGATGAATATACTCAGTTTTGTGATTACTGCACAGGGGCATTATAAGTTTTACATTTTCAAAAACATATCAAATTGTAACTAACTCCATGCTATTTATTATATGCCAATGACCCCTCAATAAAGCAGTTAAAACTAAAACACCTATATCTATATCAAATGTGCCATACTGGTGGGAAMGACAAGAAGACATATTTATGAAATTTAACCCTGATGAACTGCTACTCTAGGGGTGAAGGAAAGTGAGTCAAGGAATCAAAGGTGACTTGATGATCCAGACTTGATTGCTGGTTTGATGATGTTATCAGTAATGGAACCAGGGAATACAGAAAGAGAACCAGGTTTCTGAAGGTCAGAGAATACTGGTTCACTTTGAGGTTCCCGACCTGATGYCAAACTGTTTTCCCCACATCAGATCACAGAGTTCTCTCAGCTGCTGTCCCACTGGTTGTGACCATGAACTTGATTTCTTTACACCAGCTCATCTCCCCATTGATAATTTTGTTCAAGGCATCAACACTTTTAGCCCTTTCTGTTAATCTCTATATTCAAGGACTCCTGGTCACTTCTGCTCATTATATCTAGTGCAAATTTCTTGGCCTAACTTTTAAGGCCTTCCAAAAGTGTGGTCCCATCTGATTATATTTTATCTCATGTACTCTTTTTTTTCTTTTTTTAACCTTTATTTTATTTACTTATTTTTATGTGGTGTTGAGGATCAGATCCAGTGCCTTGCATGTGCCAGGCGACCACTCTACCACTGAGCCCCAGCCCCAGCCTTTATCTCATGTACTCTTAATCCTACTCTCTGCATTTAAATCAGAGTGGCTCATCTCTCCAGCACAACCCAGATTTATTCTCACATATGCTATTTTTTCACCCCTCTAAAACCTAAGAGTCTATCAGAACTGAACCTGGTATCCTCTTACATATGCTAATTATGCACCTTCTGTAGAAGCTTATTAGTCAACTAACATAATCAAGGCACTGTTCTTAGTACTATGAGGTGATGCAAGATGAATAATGATGTCTGGCCCCAAATGTGCAGGGCAAGGGAAAACCCACAGTATCAACTTTATCAAGTAAAACAATACAATACTAAATTGTAGTTGCTAAAATGAGATAGTCTTCTCTGGGTGATTAGAGAAAACATCAGGTAAGAGTTGATAACTRAGCCACATCTTAAAGGCTGAGTAGAATATAGCCACATGCCATTTGAAGATGCTTGGATCAAGGACAGACCATATTATACAGCCAGGGTCTCATGAGATCATATTGCCTAGTGACTTTATAGTAGTCTTAGTTTGTGTACCATGATGAAATCTCCTAACAACACATTTTTCTGAACATGTGCCTATTAAGTGATGTGTGCCCTATTAATGTTGAAAAGCAGACGGTTTCACAGGTGAAGAGAACAGAAGCCAAAGGCAGAGAAGCAGAAAATGGCAAAGTTGTATATATCATGAAGGCGGGGACTGCATCACAAACATCTTAAATTTCTCATAGCAAGTAGGACAGTAATCAGCACAATCCGTACTTACTAAGTACTTGGTGTGTTGAATTATACTTGATTTTAAGGTTTCATCTAGCTCCTAAGTGAATAATGTGTATTTAACAAGTGAGATAGAGAATGATATCTTTTATAAGCCTGAGTTAAGTGGCATGAATTTACACCACTAAAGCCGAAATTGAAAGGATAATTTAAAAATAACTTTAATGGCTTTTTCCCAGGCATATCTGTTGCAGTAGGATCTAGTCCCTGATTGCTTAGATATTACCTGTGCAATAAGCAGAAGATAATACCACCTTTCACATCAGTTTAGTTAAAATWATGACATTTTTAACTTTACAGATCAATTACAAAAGGGCTCATTATATCCATATTACATTTAGAAGCAATCTTACCATATATTAGATTTACAATAGTAACTGACATAGTTTTTACATTATTTGGGATTTCACTGAAAAATAATGTTTTWTTCTGCTAATATAGAAACAATCAGAGTTCAAAAGAAGCATCACTTTAAATTCTTACTCCCAAACTTCCAGGTAAAAGCTCTAGAACAAAATAAAAAATTATGAAGAGCTATAATTTTTAAAAATCTTTATTTTTTAAATTTCTGGAGGGACTAAACCCAGGGACACTTTACCATCAAGATAATCCCTAGTAGCGGTTTTTATTTTTTATGTTGAGACAGGGTCTCACTAAGTTGCTAAGTGGACAGTCCTCCTGTCTCAGCCTTCTCAGTTGTTGGGATTACAGGCGTGCAACACTACGCCCAGCAAAAGCTGTAATTTATTGTTGGTATGTGGTGCTGAGGATCGAACCCGGGCCCCACGCATGCCAGGCGAGCGCGCTACCGCTGAGCCACACCTCCAGCCCCTAAAAGCTGTAATTTAATAGTTGTAGACATGCCCATGATGATAAGCCTCTAGTTCCCTTACTACTGTGAGCCAACCAGTACATACCATTTTTAGGCTAATAAAATGAGTGAAATCACTACCCTAATTTTGTATGTCACATGGATTATTGAGAAAAGAAGATCAACTTCACTGTGTGGTAGATGACAACTTGGAAAAGGAATTAGGGATTATAATAAAAATAGATCCCTAGCAAAACCATGCCTCCTTACCACTGGAGCTGAAGTCCACAGGCCCGATCCATTTGAAGGCTGGTTTACGGCCTCGCTCTTCTGTTACATGCACTTTCTTTATCAGAGCCAAGCTGGTCAGAACATTGGCTATATCATAGAGGCGTCGTACCTTTGCTTGAAGATATAAAACACAATTATGGTCATCCCTTCTGTGACACCATTAAATTTCAGTTTATGTGACAGGTATTGTTTTTCAGATATCATATAAACCTCAAAAGGAGTGGGGTGGGATGAGACTAATGGCTCTATCATGAAAGTACCCAAGATTTATGCATTGGATGTGTATGAAGACAAATATTAAAGGAAGGTCACTATGTCCTTCCATTTCCACAACTTCACACCTCTTAGAAGAGAGCATCTGGTGAAAGGCAGGGAGCACTGTGATTGCAAAAACACCATGGGAGGACATGATTAAAGGCTTAATAAATGTAATTCTGATATGTGGCCCATCAAGAGCTTGTCCTGAGTTTTCTCCCAGCAAGAGGTTGTGGCACCTACTTCATAGGGAGCTGGCCTGTAAAAATGACAGGGATTCCCCAGGGCTTCCTACAAGGCTGCACYCCTGGGAACACAGGAATTCAATGTCATGAGGTACAACTGTGCTAAAGATAGCAGCTCCTCACCTGGCATTCTGCAGTGTGTTCTCTGAATCTAACGGTTTGGGGAGAGACCTTTGAAAAATGCAGATATTAGGGGAAAAACCATAAAGTATTTCTATTCAAGAAACTTAACAGGTATGAAATCCACCTGACTTCAGGACTCAGATCAAGCAAAGGCATTGGATTATTGTCTAAAAATATCAAGTTTTCACCATCATCCTAACAGATTTGGATTTTATCCAGGCATTTCACCCACAAGGTAGCCATCATCCTAGTTTGGTGGGGGGAAACAGGTAGAAGCTAGCAAATGATAAGCTCATGATTTCCCAGCTTGAAAGGACTGCCAGGAGCCCAGGGCACTGGCTCAATGGATAAGGAGGATGGCATTAAGTGTGTCATCTGGAAAATCTCTACCTGTCCAGCAGCCACGTCCCACCACCCTGGGCCCTGACCATTCCTCTGTTTCTTACCTGTAGACAACTTTCATCTCCACCCTTCAGAAGAGTAGGCAGGGGGTGGGGAAAAAAGGGGAAAGAAAACTCAGATATTCTGTCTCTAAAGAGAAATGCAAAGTAATCCATACCCTCCCTGACCGTTGTTCTTGGGATGGCATTCTGCTTCTACTGTACCCTGTAACAGTTGAGGAAAAGGCTTCTGACAGGAATTTAATGGAAATTCAATTATGTGACTAGCTTATCCTCACAGCAAAAGTACTTTTATGAGCACATTCCTCAAAAATARTATGTATATTTTTTAATCTCAGAGGTAGAAGATACCAATATATGAAATACCACCCTTTTGTGCTTAAATGGATTGAGGTGAAAATTCTTACTTTTAAATTTACTATGATCTGGGGTATCCTGGCTTTCTTCTATCAGTATCTTGGCAGCCACATCCAAAGTAACAATCTTGGTTTTGGAGACAAGGAACAGCATGACAAACTTCTGACTCATAATTCTCAGAGACTTATCTTTTCTACTGTTTGCAGATGCTACACAGGGGAGGAAACAAGAACATCAAAACATGGAATTTACCACATGAAAGACTATCATTGGATAGTTGTTTGCCATAACTCTCCAATGCCACCAGCATATGGAAGGATCATCCTTGTCACAGGCAGAAGCCTACTGGACACACATCACAAATATCAGCTCATAAAGAAATAAGGATTTTCTTATGGCCTATAAAATCACTCTGTCATGTGCATAACCTCTTACATGTATTTAAAACTGCTCTTAACACTTTATACTTATATGTTATAAAACAGAATCTATGTGGTAATTTTCCTGAAGGAACATTTTGAAAAGATTTGTAGACAGATAAAAAGAGAGGGTACGGATCAGGAACTGTTTACAGAACGTCAACTCTCCTCTCAAAGGCAAGAACTCCATTTTTCTTTCTTTGTACTCACAATATAAAAAATATAYCCAAAAAACATAGTTAGGTGCCCTATTCAAGAGTTTTCAGAAACAGGGGAACAGATAAGATCTACATAAACAGACTCATTAGATGTGTGCCTTGTGGACGGCAGGTAAACCACCCCGGGCAGGTAGCTGCGGAAGGATAAGTGCTGCCTCGTGGGGTGCAACTAAAAGGCCTTTTAGTGAATCTAACAAAAACCAAGCCCACCCTTTTTTCATGCTTTGTCATCTTGCCAACGAGGAGGAGGGTGAGAATGATGAAGATCAATGGCAAAATATGGGAAGAAAAATACTAGCTGMGGAAAGGCAAGAACAATGCAGATACAAATTTTTAAAATTCTGTACAGAATGAAGGAGAGGGTTGTCTTTTTATCAATATTTTGTTAATGAGGCTCTCTCCTATGTAATCTACTCCAACATATAATTAAAAAATTGAGAAGATAACTTCAAAATAAATTATCATAAAAAGAAAACAGAATGGGCCCATCAATCTATAACGGGGAGCACTACATGATCCATGGTCCAGACATGCCAAATACCAGGTGAACTCCACCAGACTGATTTTAAGTCAGGTGCGGTGTTGATGGCCCAGTTGGGAAGCCATCTGTCTCCCTTTCGTCAGTAAAAAATAAAGGGACATTTTCCTCTGGGTTATCAATCTGGCACTTCTCATTCTACTAGTGAGTCTCTTCAGAAAAGATCATCGCTCTTTCTGCCATTATTCATGAGGTTACAATGGACTCACAGGAGGGATAGTCAGGTTCAGAGAAATCCAGTAACTGTTGATCTTGGGAATCTGGACAACCATCTTTTCTGCGTTCTCCAAATTTATAATCCATCAGGTCCAGTTCCTTCTGTTGGAGGTAGGCCATCTGCTCTTCATATTTCTGCTCCTCTCCAAGTCTCTGGAGGGTCCTAAGGGTTTTTGGCAGGCTATGCCGTCCATGCCAGCCATACTGATTCTTGGCCACCCGGCTGACCAGATGCAGTGACTCCAGCACATTTACAATGTCATAGATGCGTCTCCTTTCCACACCTGTTTGAAAAACAGAAGCAAACAGACATGATGCAGATGGGAACTACTTTGTATGGTGCCCAATGAAATGCCCATCAGATGTGAATGATCAATAAATTCAACCTGTAAGGATGCAAGCAACAGAATTTTTTTTCTTCTTTTGATGCAGTCCTCAAACAGATCTAATCTAGAACACCCTTTTCAAGATGGTGAATAGTTCCATCTGCGTGACATAATGGTATAGCACCTACTCTTTAGACCCATCAGGATAACCACACGAATATTTGTACATATTGAACTGGTAGTACTGAATAATATGCATAACAGTATGTCTACTGGATGAATGATGAATGGATGACTGTGGCTTGTATTTCCAATTATACAGACTATAAAATAAACTAACAACTGCCACATTATTATTGGACAATCCTTTCTTAGGGTTTGAATGATGTGAAAATATAACYTTGAAAACTTTCTTTTCTGTGAGGAGGGGTACTCGGGATGGAACCCAGGGGACTTTACTACTGAGCCACATCCCCAGCCCTTTTTATTTTTTTATTTTGAGACAGGGTCTCACTGAGTTGCTTAGGGCCTTGCTAAGTTGCTGAGGCTAGCCTTGAACTTGCAATCTGTCTTGGCCTACTAAGTTGCTGAAATTACAGATGTGCGACACTATGCCTGGCTAACTTTGAAAACTCTTAATGGCCCAGTGAAGCAAGTGAATGGTAAAAGGGCTTTGGGTRCCCTTTTCAAATGGCTAGAGGAAGCTATATCCAGGGATGGAAGAACTTGAGTCTCTTTTTTCTCATCATGGCTACTGACAACTCTCCCTGTGTTCTCTTTTACCATATTCTGCCAAGCAGTCCAACAATGAAGCACAGACAGGTGGCCACTGCAATTCTGCAATTCATCAGTTTCCTCCTACTTTCCCTATACTACTTAAATAGCTAAGATTATGAGCTATCCACYGAATTACCAAAAATAATCACTGTGGAGGGCTCTGGGTCAGACTGCCTGGATTTGAATCCTTGATCTATCCCTTACTAGTTGGGTGATCCTGGAAGTTATTTAACCTTTCTGTGCCTTGGAATTTATCTCATAAAATGACGAGGATTAAATGTGACCATAAATGTAAAGGGTCACCAGTTGGTGTTAATTTTCTCTAAATATTTTACATAGCATTAGAGATAACCTAAAATCCCTGCTAACATAAGAGGTCACAGTAGAAACAGATTTTTTAAAAAGTCTCATGTCTAGGACTCATTCTGTTGTGCAACAGGCCCCCAGGCCCACTGTTCTTTTTTGCTCTCATCCAAGTATCTGTAACAAAAACCTTACAAAAAACCAGACCAGCTACAAAGATTCCCTCTTTCATTGCACATGCCAGAAGCTGTTATATAATCAGATCAGACTCAGTGAATATAGCTTTAGGCCCTTCAAAGATTTAATGTGAGAAAGCCACCAAATTAAAAGGAAATTCTGGAGCTGAGGGGAAGTTCTATCACACGTACAAAGRGGCACTTCACAGTCACATCAGAACATTTCAGCTCATGACCCTGAAAAATCCACCCTACTTGGAAGCTTAGGCTTTGGTAGCAGGTGCCTGCAAGAAGGTGCTGGCAGGAGCAGCCAGCAGCCCCTTGACCACAAGTGCCTGGTTCTTGATTCCAGTTTGTTTTCGCATATTAACAGATCTTGTTTAGAGTGTGACAATCTATAAACCTTCCCATTAGAAATGTCATGTGAATGCAAGTGAGACACCCCAGGGCCAGCCATATGCCCAGCTATTTTGTTATTTCATATTTGATAACAAGCTGTTAAGTCTCCATCTAGTGGCTAGACATCCCAGGCAAAATAAAAGAAGATCCTGACCACTTGGAGAATAAGATGTTTATCTATGCACAAAGGGTGCTTAGTGGGTAGTATTGGTAAAAACCAACCTAGCAGTTACTTGTCTGCTTAATCATTCACAATTTCAATCTYTAACTGGAGGTTGATGCACTAAAAAGTTCCATTTCACAGGTCTTTAGACCTATAGATTACTCTGGGGGCTTGCTCTCTCAGAAAGGTTTCCCCTAGCATTCAGCCTTCTTTTTCATTTGTATTTTTATTTTTTTTTTAAGTTGTAGATGGACATAATACCTTTATTTTATTTATTTCTTAATGTGGTGCTGAGGATTATAAACCTAGTGCCCCACACATACTAGGTAAGTGCTCTACCACTGAGCTACAACCACCGCCCCTGTTCATTTGTATTGAGCTAGTCTTATTAATTCTAGTCACGACATTAATTGTACAGTTAAGGAATTACCAACTGTTGCCACCTTTCCCTTGGTTTATTTCCCCATGGAGCTTATTGAGAATAACTCTCAATCTAGTAAAATAGTTTCAGAGGCTCTGCTGTTTTCTACTAAAAGTCATTCCCACTTCTTTAAATTCTTACCCATAATATCAGTGTCAGATCTACATGACACCAGAATCTGGGAAATAATAATATTTGAATGTTCTGCTTATCCTTGATTAAACTATGGTTTTGGAGCTTGTAATCCAGGTATAGCAGGGAGTTTAGATTCACCCCTAGAGGATGGTCACCAATGAAATAGCTTCTAGGAAGGGATCCCATTCCCAAACTCATGTGAAGAGAGATGGCATGCTTACTTGGCAGATCAGTAATTACAGGCATTAGAAAGCTGTTAAAAAACCTATAGAGTTCTGTTCCAGAATGATCTGTAGCCCAGATGAGAGAAGTCCACTCTTCCATCCTCTCTGGGAACTGGAACAAATTTCTCCAACATCTTTTTTCTACAGTGACATCAGTTAAGACCCCTGAATGCAAGTTGGATACTTCCTTTCCAGTGAGGACACTGAATAAGCTATTATTTTACCCTTATTTTCTGTAAGACTAGTTTCCAGAACCCTGTGCCTCAATGGGCTCTTCACTGGGCCTCTGTCCACCTGGCTCATTTTCTTGTTTGATTATCAGAAATCTGAGAAAATTGCATTATACTTCTAGGTTTCAAAACAGATCCCTAACCCCAGAACTCTACTTCTTCCTAGTTATAGAGACTGACAGGTCTCGGGGAGAAGGGAACAATCCAGTAAGAACTGAGTAGAAATGTTCCATATAATAGCAAGAACTACCATGCCAAGGACTAAGTTAGGCAGGTTATTCCATTATTCCCATCTTTGCAATGTTTCTGTTGCTGTGGTCCCTATGGTATAGACAAGAAAAGATTAATTAACTTTTTTAAAGCTCTTACAGCCTCAAGAGCTGGGCTTCAAATCTACTCCATCTAACTCAAAGCTCAGCTCACAGTTTTCCCACAACTCACTGCCTACTCATTATCTCAGTTTCCAGCAACCAAAATCATCWTCTTAGCTATCAGTTTGAATAATTCAGATTGACACTGATCTATTGGGGCACATTTTTTTCTGGGCTATGAAAGGAATAGGATTAAGAAACAAACAAAATATTGGTCATTTATCTACTTAGCTGATTTCTTCAAAATATTTTTTTCCCTGGTATGTAAAAATCTTATTTTTTAAGGGGACATTTATACTTTCAGATCATTGTGATTTCTGTATTTTTAAAGATTACCAACATGATCATCCTGAATCCAACTACAATCCATATCCACTAGGGGTCTCTATTCTGAAGCAGCTCTACATATATCACAGCCTGTATACCCATCACACATTATACATGCTCATGCCACGTGAACACGGGTATTCTTCTTTGTTATGAGGTTTAACTGTTTGAGTTATGTCCAGATGTGCTTTTTATTGTTTGACATGCTTGCTGTGAATATCATTGTATACAGTTTCAAACACAATGCTCTTGCTCTCAAATATAAAGGAAATAAAACCACTTCTGTAGGATCTCTTAGAAACATTATTAAAAATACAAAACAGGATAATTCTAAATATTTTCTGAGTCTGTCTKAAGATGAATTTAAAATGAGATAYTAGGGGCTGGGGATGTAGCTCAGTGGCAGAAAACTTGCCTAGCATGTTTGCATGTTTGAGGCACTGGGTTCGATCCTCAGCATCACATTAAAATAAATAAATGAATAAAATGAGATGTTAATTTATAATCTAAGTCTCAAAAAATGTTGCCTCTTACAAAAATATTTTTTAAGGTTAAAACACTGCCCCCCCCAAAAAAAACCCTGCATTTTTATTTGGACTAGGACGCTTCCTAGAATGAAGAGAAATTTGATGGTGATAAACAAAGCTCTTCCTGCTCCTCTGTCCCATCCTTTGGAAAGAGCATTCTTTAGTTAATAAAAGAGGCCACCCGAAACCTTTTGCCTGCCCAAGGAAACCAGTTTCCCACTGTAACTGGAGACAGGCCTCTAGGTAATCTGTTGATACATACCAAGACTGATAGCAACTTCATCTAGAGAGATGGTAGTTTTCTCAGTTGACAAGGGATAACTTGGATAGCGAGCTAGAAACTTCTGGCACAGCAGTCCTAAACTTTTCTGTTTTCTGCTTGGCCTCTGCTTTTCAAATTCGTCCACAGCACTGTCCCCAACATCAAGCTACAAAAGGCATAGAAGGGAGGAGGGAAAGGTCATGGTTAACATCCTAATGGAGAAATCACTGTGGTTGGTACTGGCAAATAGGGGTGGGGAGGTCATCCCAATCCACACCACCTGAGATTCTAGTTAAAATACATTTTAAAATATAATTTTTTAAATATTTTCCCTATTGCTTTTTCTGGACTGAAGCTGTTCACCTTTGCAACACAAGGATGAGTCTATTATTTAAAAATTTTTAAATAAACAATGTAATTATATAGGTTATTTGGTACACCATTGCTACTAGCATGCTCCTTGAAAAAACCAAATGAGCATCACCAGGAGCTTGTTGGAGTTGTAGAATCTCAGGCCTCATCCCAGACCTGCTGCACCAGAATCTGTCTTTTCRTAAGATATTGGGTGATTCATATTGACATATAAGTTTGAGATGCACTGACCTGCACTAAATTTTCTAACTTGTACATTTTACAATCAACTAAAGATTGATGAAACTGCACAAGGGTCATTAAATAATAATCTYTGTTCTTATTCTTTTTTTTAAATTGCAAGTATACAATAGCATTGTCTCATCAACCCACATTTGAAAAAGTCCAAGAAAATAAAAGGGTTTTCAATGAATGGATATAGGAAGAAAAGTGATTTGATTATTTCAATAGATTCAGAAAAAGCATTTGATAAATTTCATTCATGGTTTTAAGAAAAGTTCTTATAAACTTGGAATAGGAGAGAACTTCAATAAAGACTATTCACAAAAACCCCAAAGCAAGCATCTGTATTAATAGGAAAACCTTGGAAGTATTCCCTTAAAATCAGGAAAATGATAAGAATGCCCATTTTCATTGCTCCTCTTCCACACCATATTGGAGATCCTMGTTAGCACATGAGAACAAGAAAAAGAAATAGAGGCACAGGGATTAGAAAGGAATAAGCCTCATTTCCATTTTGTAGAATATATGAATGGCTATGACAGCCTGCTAAAAAAAATCCCAAATTACTAAAAATAAAGATTTAGCAAAGACAATGTATTTTAGAAATCAGCTGCATTCCTATATAACAGCATCAGAAAATAAATTTGAAAAGATATCATTTTCAATAGCAATAAGACTGATAATATTTTTGTGGTTATTGTTGCTATTGGCAGTATGAGGGATTGAACACAAGGCCTTACACATGCTAACCAAGTGCTATACCAGTGAGCTACCCCTAGTCCTTTTTAAAATTTTGTTTTGAGACAGTCTCATTAAGTTATCTAGGCTAGCCTCGAACTTCCAATTCTTTTGCYTCAGATTCCCAAGCACCTGGGATTACAAGTATGCACCACCATGCCCAGCAAAACTGATAAGGTTTATTTGCATAAAATACTAAACTTAAAATAACTTAGATGCGAGAGAATACTTAAAACTTAAGAGAAATACACTATCTTCATGGGTAGGAGGATTTAGTACCACAAGTAGATTAACTCATCTCAARCTAATATACAGATTTGATGCAATTCCAATTAAAACCTTATTTAATGCATATATGAAAGACGAAAGGGCCAAGAATAGCCATATAATACATTTGAAGAAAAATAAGTTGAAGGTCCTGCTTTACAATATGGTATTGGTATAAAAATGGACCAACTGTCCAGTGGAACAGAAAGGAGTCCAGAAACACAACAAACATAAATGGAGATCTGACATATGGCTGAGGTTGCACTGCTAACTGAGGGAAGGAAGAACTCGCAAATAAATGGTGCAGAGACAAGTGATTATACACACAGAAACATGAAGTTGTATTCTCGACTCACTACACATATAGACAAAGGAGAATATTTTTCTAACCTTGGAATAGAAAGGATTTCTTTAAATAGACATAAAAACATCAGCCTTAAAAGAAAGGATTTACATACAAGGACTATGTTAAACTTAAGACCTTTTGTCCGTTAAGAAACAACAGAACCCACTTGAATCTAAAGTATGAAATATGATAGATATGTCAAGAGCTATGTAATGTTTTGAACAACCAATAAAAAAAAAGAAACAACAGAAAAGGAATAGACAGTTACCAAACTGAAAGAATATATGTGTAACACATACAGTTGATAATGATTTAGTGTCAATAATCACCTCCTACAAATCAATAAAAAAAAAAAAAACACAATAAAAATTGGCAAAGAACACAAATAGGCACTGCACTAAAGGTAAAACATGGCCAGCAATCATGTGGAAAGAAGCTTAACTTCCTGGATAATCAAGGAAAAGCAAATGAATTGCCCAGTAACATATAAACTGTACAAAAATATTGGCAGAAATTAGTAAGTTTGATAATTTCAAGTGTCACAGAGKATATGGATCAATAAATGCTTATATATTAGCGGTGAAAGCTAACAGTACTTTGGAAAATAATCTGGCATTATATTATAAACATTTTCATATCCATTGACCTAGCAATTCCCCAATACATACCCTAGAATAGTGGTTCTCAAATAGTTTGTTCACAGRATTCCTTTATATTCCTAAAAATTACTGAAGATACTACAGAGCTTTTTATGTGGGTTTTTCTATTGATGTTTAACCATATTAGAAATTAAAACTGAGATAGTTAAGGTGTTTAGTGAGAAAAGATCAGAGTTTTATAATATATATTTTCAAATCCCTTTAGTATCTGATTTCCTAGAAAAGAATGAGATTCTCATGCTTGCTTTGTATGCAATCTGTCACAATAACCACATTTTGTAGTTACTAGAAGGTTTCAGTAGACACTCAGGAGGCAATGAGACTTCAAATGGCAAATATCTTGGTAGTATTTTGAAAATAGTTTTGACCTCCTTTGACCCTCTGAAAAAAATCTTTGGGGACATTGAAGTGACAACTTTGAGAACCACTGGTCTAGGGAATGCTTGTATATATATTCTAAGAGACATTAACAAGCATATCATAGCTTCATAATTCATATTAGTCCCAAACTTCAAACAACCCAAATGGCTTCCAACAGGAGAAATAAATCATGGTGTATCCATGCAATGGAAAGTTACACAGCAATGAAAATGACAGAATTATAGCTGTGTGCAAACATATGAATGAGTCTTAAAGAGGTATGTTGATTGAAAAAAGAAGACTGTATACTATGTATAGTTTCAATTTTACAAAGCCTAAAACCCAAACACTATATAGGAACACACACATGTAATAGGGTGATTTTTAAAATGGCAAAGAAATGATAAATACAAATTAAGGAAAATGGTTATTCAGATGTAAGTTATTCTGTTCTGGTTTGGGGCTGGGATGTAGGTTCCTGGGTACTAAAGATATTGCAAATATAAGTGTACTTCAGTGATCAAACAGTCTATAAAAGGCAATAAAGAACCAGTTTTTAAAAGATATTAAAATACTTTTAAGGCCACTCAAATTTTAGGCACTTACTTCCTAATAGTAGTGAGCACATCAAGTGACTGATCAGTTAAAATCTCCTTATAAAGTTTGAGTTGAAAGCCAAAAATTCGATTGTTTTAGGGGGCACATTAAAAATTAGTTATAGCAAGTAGATATTAATTATGTTACCTTCTCAAAGAGGTTATAACAATTCCCACTGAATGATTTTTACTTTTCTATCGTTTGTCAATAAAATTAAAAAAACAAACTAATATTTATATTCCTTTGACAGCAAAAAGCACACAATTTTATTTAATTTTTATGATCCCAATTAAACCAGGGCAGGCCCACAACTCCTATATTGCAGATGAGTAGACTATAGTACAGAGACTATGCCATTTCCCCCACTCATGAAGCTGGTGATTTGAAAACAAGCTCCTTGTGCTTTCTACATCAAATATAACACAGAAAGGAAGCCAAAAAATAGGTTAGACTTAAAGAGGAATTATGAAAATTTTCTAGCTTCAAGCATGTAGGAATTACTCTCAAAACTGTATGATGTGCATCTAGTTATATGAGAGAATCTGTTCTACTAAAGCAATGATATGCATAGTAGACCAAATTAATTTTGTTCTATTAATTTCAAGTTGAAATTCAGGACATCTTTTTCTTAATTTTGGCAAATTTTATAGCTTAAAATATATACCACAAGGAGAAAAAATAACTAAGAACACTAATACCTGTAAGTAACTTTCCTTAACATATCTAAAGATAAGTTTTGATGTGAGAGTAAAAATGAATAACCAGAGGTTTTTTTTTTTTTTTTTTTTTAAAGTATAGACATGCTGCTTTTACAATTCTGGTTCTTCATAGAACAGGCACTTTAAAGATGGTTTAACATTAATAAAGCCCAAAACAAATGAACTGATCATATATGAGCATAATAGGATTTCCCAGGTCAACACTATGAAACTTAAGATCCGAGCAAAATTAAAATTTAAACTTTTTTTTTAAACTAAACTCCTTCATTAAATCAAAATCATTACAACTAAATAAAAACATCATTTTAAAATCTGTTCTGATCAAGGGAGTATGATACAAAGGAGAAAAAGCATTCATTACCAAAAAAAGATATAGGTTGAGAATACAGCTATTAAAAGATATAAGWTTAAATAAACATAAAGATATTTACAGCATAAAAAATATACTTAAATATAAGTAGAAATAAAGACATTAAAAAAATAAAGACATTTTTCAGAAACTGAAAAACTAAGTATTCTGACTTTTTAATTAAACAAGTAAAATTTTTTGAGTTCTAACAACGCCCAGCGGAGCACAGTCTTTTTACCTGTAAAGAGTCTGAAAATGCATCATCCTTGTTTTCAATGGGTCTGAATAGTCCCTTTTTCTTCTCCCGATCCCTTATGTCTGGACTGGCAGCACTAATGAGCATCTTCAGGTTAGCTGTGGGTGTCCATGGCTCTACCTGTTGTTTGTCGACAAGCTTAACTGGAGTAATGGGATTTCTTTCTGGAGTGAAGATTTTTTGCTTTGATAAATCAATTGGTTCATTTTTTATTGGAGTCTTTGGGGCCATCCTTGATCGATCAACAAATATATTCTCCTATTTAAAAAAAGAGACCTTTTAGCAAGTATGAGAAAGGACAGGTGACAGTCAAGAGTGAAGTTTATTCCCACCATTTACTAAGACCTGGGGAGACAAACAGTACCATATGTTTAGGAGTGAAAGGTATTCAGGATTGGATTAATGAAAATTAGACAGAAGTTTTATGGGCATTGAACTGTGGCTCTAGTGAGAAATGGATTATAATCATCTACTTCTTTTAAATATATTTTTCATGACCTCTCTGTAAGAGAAGTCATGAATGTATTTGTAACCTGTAGATGCTTGTAATAGTTGAGGATGATGAAGGCCAATATGGGTTAAGTCCACATTGCTTCTAAGCGCCAGATTTTTTGGAAACTCTACTTAGAAGTTTGCATTAACTAGTTAAGAGCAATTATGCTTTTGTAGTTAAATTTTGTAATATAGCAATTAGTAGCAGGAATAGTTACAGAAAATGCATCCAACAAAATACATTTTAAGCCAACCTAGAGAGCTATTTAAAGTTCTTCTCCTAGAGCAGTGTTTCTCACCCCATCCATGGTAAAGGACCAGTTTTTTTTTTTTGTTTTTGTTTTTTTTAATTTCCAAACTCCCACATGCTGATACATGATCTTACTTTATAGGACTAATATGCAGTTCTCACCATAAGTGATTTGTTACTTAAGTTTGTCACTCAAAACAACCAACAGCCTAATCAACAAGAGATCACTGACCATAGTTCAGATGTCCCACAGATGGTATCAAATTGCTATCAAGGTTTCTAAATGCTCAACTCACAAATTTCATTTTTATTTTTTTGCAGTTCATGTACTACCACCTGCCTCCAGATCACACTTTGAGTAGACTTAAGTAATCCTAAAAAAATATTAAATTTGGGTCCATTATGAAAAAGGACTAAGCACACAGAAACTACATTTCTCCTAAAATACTTTCTCCTAAAATGTTCTTGCCATTCAGTGCCAGAGATAGTCTGTTCTTTCTATAGTAGAATTCATTTCCTGTCAATAGTGACTCACATGATCATGAAGGTTAATTACATACTTGTCACTCCTTTTCTTGTACAGGTATCACTCTATAGCTACTGCATGCTTGGATCTTGGCTGGTTGGTGGTTTAAAAAGTATTTTCCTAGACATGAACAACACTGTGAAGAGGCAAYGTTGCTTGGAAAAAACTGGAGTTTATGTTTGTAAGCAACTCTTGTTTCTTGGATCAGTAGAAGCTGTCAGCTAGCCATGGTGATGTTCTGTCCTCGTATATACGGTTGCAAGAAGGGAGTGGATGGGGCTGATTTCTCATGCATAAGAGCAGTAAGCACCCCAACCCCAGAAGGCTGCATCTATCCATCTATCTTTTAACTAGTCCCTGATAGTTAGCCATTCTGATAGAGAATTCTAAAAGTGAACTCTTGAAGGAGATTACTGAATATTTACTATGTCTCAAATCCTATTTTATGTACTATACATGGATCAACTCGTCAACTGATCCTGAGGCATAGGTATATTATTTTTTCTAGTTTACAGATGAAGACACTAAAGCACAGAGAGGTTAAATAACTTGCCTGAGGTCACATACAATCCTATTCTGTGGTATGTAAGAAACAGCTGAAAGCAGAAGTTTCTGAAATTCTGCATCTAGAATTAAGTTTGTCCTGGGTGTAAATTGGAAGGAAGATATCTTTTTCAGAGTTCAAACAAAAGGTACTCAGAAGCCTACTGATCCTCACTAGCATCTCAGGAAAGGCAGTATGGCAAAGGTTAATGCTGACAGGATCCAGAACCAGCCTGTCAGCRTCTGCTGCTACTCAGTAGTGTGAAAGCAGCACGTTCCCTTACCTCACTATTCTTCCATTCCATCAAGTGAAAATGAATTTCATAAAAATACTAACCTCAAGTGTTACGAGGTAGTTTCTAACACTCAAGAAGCTCAGCTATTACCTTTCCCCCTTTTTCATTCCTGATTACCATTCATTCTGGCACTTAGAGTTAATATAATGTAGCAAATCCCATTATTATTTAACTTCCTAGGTGTAATCTTGCTTCAGGAATGAGACTGTGCACCTATGGGACTCAGTTCCAGATGGCTTGGTCCTTACAATTTGTGGCACAATGACCTGCCTATTACAAATGTGTTAAGGTTTAGACATGAGGTGTCTCCCAAAAACTCATATGTAAGATAATACAAGAAAGGTTAGAGGTGAAAAGATTAGATTATGAGAGCCTAAACCTAATCAGTGCATAATTCACTGGTATGGATTAACTGGGCAATAACTACAGGCAGGTGGGGAGTGGCTGGAGGAAACGGGTCACTGGTGGCATACCTTTGGGATTTTTATTTTGTCCCTGGTGAGTAGAGTTCTCTATGCTTCTTGATTACCATGTCTTGAGCTGTTTTCCTCCACCATACCCTTCTGACATGATGTTCTACCTCACCTGAGGTCCATAGCAATGGAGTCTGCCATCTAAGTACCAAGACCTCTAAAACCATGAGCCCTAAATAAACTTTCCTCCTCTAGTTTTACTTTACTGGTCTTTTGGTCACAGCAACGAAAAACCTGACTGAAACAAGGTGCTCGAAGAACACTACGCTTTAATTACCTAGTTATTCCAAGAGGTTATGGTCATGGTAGAGTGTTGCCCAGGCTTGCTGAGTGGACAGAGATCTACTCTGTTTCTCTAYAGTACCTGTCCTCACAGAGACAGTAAGTTACTACTATCTCCCTAGTAAGAGATAAATTCAGAATGGATTATTTTTCATATCCTTTGATATATTTTTACTACAGTTTAATACTTAAAGTAGAAGAATTAGTCCACATGGTCGGGTAGGACTGTCTTACATTTCCACATCAAAATTATAAAATGCCATGCATATTGTGTTCTGAAGTCTCAAGGGGACATCAACTGCAATCTAGTCACACCCTGTTCCACCTGTTTATCTTGTCATATTGACAGTGCACAGGGCAGAGAAAAGGAGTCTAGAATGGCAATTTAGCAATCTGGTTTGTCTCCCTCCGTATTGTTTACTGTCTGGYCCCAAGTTTCCTTATGCATTATGTAAGAGGTTCAGACTAATCTAAAGAGCTTTCTAGCAAGGTTGCCTAGCTATGCAGAGGACCTTGGGGTGCGCCCAGATCTATGCAGGAAGCAGTGAGTCATTCCTCCAGCTGCTGGTAGCAATGCCAACAGTAAGTCCCTAACTGRATCACCTTGGCTGGAGAGAGAGGGCTGACACGCCACTTCCTGGGAGGCCAGGACTGAATTCAATGGCTGGTAGAAGTAGCACTGACAAAAGTACCTGGCCTGGTAACTTACCCTTTCTTTCCCTTCCTCAGGCCTTGAACCTGCAAAATCTTAGAAATCACTTTCTCAACTGTAAGCCTAGAAATGTTACCTATGAAATAGACCTTCAGTTTTCTGACAAAAAGGAAGTAAGGTATCTTGGCTTACTTGCCAGAGGTGCCATGAGGATCAGCTGAGATAATGCAGACAAAAGCACTGTCATCCATGAAGTGCTATATGAATGTTTATTATTATCATCAATAACAGTACCTGTGCTATGATGACAGGTTGAATGGCAGTATGCTGCTACAGAAAGGGCTCAGTAGTTGAAAGATCTTGGTTCTAGTTCTGGTTTTGTCACAGTACAGCTTTCATACCACAACCTCAAATAATATATCTAGTCATAAGCATTGTCAAGACCCTTGACTATATGTGACCAGCCTCTTTTCCTGTTCCCTCTCATGCACAGCCCACAGTTTCCCCCAACAGTCCACTTGCTTTACTTTAAATCTGCCCTGAACTTTATCTCATTAAGCTGTTTCTCACACATTTTGTTCTCTTTAATGCCATTAGACAAGTTTTGCCTATGGGAATCCTACTATTGTCAGGAAATATCTCCTCCTGGCTATTGATCAACAACTCTACTTCCCGCCAGAGCACACTTTCAAGGAGTTATCCACACTGAGGGCTTTCTACCACCTTCCTCCCAGGCATTTTCAAACCACCATAGTAAGTTCCAATCCATGCCTCTCCCTTAAGTCACCTCTCAACTGCCAAATCACATCAATGGTAAAATATCTTATTTGACCTCAACAGTTATGAGTGTTGATGGCTCTTTATAAAACTCCCACCCCTTAGCTTCTGAAATACCATACTTTTTCTCCTGGATTTCTTCAGACCTCTGACTATGCTGTCTCAGTCTACTTCACTGGTTTTTTCTTTCGCTCTTACAAACCACAGAGTCACACTTAGCCCTCCCTTACATTTACTGTCTCTGGGATGCTTCACCCAATCTCATGTGTTTGACTAGAAAGTCAACCTATATGCTAACAATTCCCAAGTTGGGTTCCAAGGCTAGACCTTTAATGAATTCCAGTATCAGAAAACCAGCTGCCTCCTGCACATATTTTTCTACCTGTAAATCACACATGTACAAACATATTCCAAGTTAACCTCACATTTTTTCTCCACCACTCCCCAAAGATGTGAATAACATTTAAAGAACAGCCATGCCTGCTAAGTCGGGGCATTGTTCCCAAATATGCCTTGCTCATTTCTGCTCATTTACTAGCTCCCTTCCTATCTATCTGCCTACGCCTCTAGCTCAAGTGTTAGTAACTTCACAAGTCCTCCCAACAGCTCAATCTTTATCATTCACTTCTCCATCCCCAAATGTCCACTTTTTACTTTTGCCATCACCAGATACATTACAGGATCTTGCATCCCCAAGGTACAGGGAAGTCTTATTTAAAATCCTACAACTGGAAGTAGTAAGTTTGGTAATAAGTTAAAATGAATTTATGWTTTAAAGAAGTTTCTCCATGAGTAGTCAGAAGATGCATGTATTAAACAGTACTTATAGATCTTGACCCATATATAGACATCAAGGAAGAAGATCCTCTAAATGACAAGTGATCTAGCAGGACATCATTCCAGGTATCCATCCCTCAGAGGGATTTCCAGAGAGAACAGAGCATCACTGGCTTCTAGTCACTGATTTCTTGAACGTTTCTTGAATGCCCAACCTCATGTTGTTTCTTCTATCTGAAACGTCCATCTCACTTGCTCTTTTTTTCTTATAGGTTGAACTTCCTCATTCAGTAGGGCTTAACCCAAATGTAACCTTCACTGTGAAACTTTCTAACTCTTAGGAATTTATTTCTTTCTCCTCTAGTCTGCCAAGGCACTTTGTTCCCTCTCCTATTTCAGGACTGTATTAAATCATAGTACAGTTTGCTAGTTTTCTATCTGGGTCCCTGAAAGTCTCTGATGACCAAGGGGCCAGACCTGCATCATATTCACCTTGTGCTATCAGTTTAGTTCAGTACAGTGTGAAGAGTATGTGCTACTGGTGCTTTACAAAAACCCAGTGGGAGCAGTATTATTATTATTAGGTCCAATTGTTTAAAGGGAAAAAAATGGACCAAGAAAAATTAGGAGACTCATTAAACTACTGAATCACTAACAAATAAAACAGGCTTTAATTAGAGGTTACGTAGCTAATAAACAAAACAGAAAATCAAACTTGGGTCTCTATGACTCCAATCCCCACCATCCCTAAAAAGCCTTCGTCCTTCTATAGCAAAAAAACGCCTTGTGGTCTGAGGAAGCACTCTGTTCCCATCTCTTACATTCTCTCTGAGATGAAATGATCCTTGATTATGTATTCTATTCCAAACATTTTAATCACTTTCCCAACCTCTTCTGAGTCATTTGAACTTTTCTGCACACCCATTAAAATATCAAAGTGCAACTGGACATAGTACTTACTGAGGGTAACTATAGTAGAAGGGCCCTTGTTGAAGGTACTTGATAAGTAGAAGGACCCAGAAGGACAGACGTGGAGCACACTGACTTAGACTATATATAAACATATACATAGTCTTTCAAGGTGGAACAATCCTAATTACAAAAAAAAAAAAAAAAAAAACCCAAAACTTTTGCTCTGAAACTCCTAAAGCCCAAATTCTGACCATATCTTAAAGTCTGGACATTTCTACCCTCATATGCCTTAGGTAATTTTTTTTTAAAAAGCCCTCTTTAAAATTTTTGGTATTCTTCTTTTCCCAATAAAAATCAAATGCTGGAAAAACATATAATTTTATACCTATCCAAAGCTAATAGCTGTTAAATATTCTTTAAAGATCCACATAACCAGAGGTATTTTGCAACCAGATTCATTGTTGATTTTTAAGCCTAAAATAATACCAGGATCCCAGAGAAGTTTAATGCCTAAGGAAACTGCTACTCACAGCTTTATGTTCAAAGTTTCTAAAACTAGGTTTGTTATATGTATTTGCCTCTGCCTAAAAGTGCTCAGACGTTCATTGTTACCAAGCTATTACACCTCTTTGGTAAGATCATTTGCTGCTTTGTGCAACTGTGCTGATGTGGGTAAGGTGATGTTTTAGATACTGCTATGACCAATTTACTTGGTGATGTTTCTTGATGATACAGTATCACAAATTCCAAGGGATGCAAAAAAAAAGGGTGGGGGGAAATGAATGGCTCAGCACAAAACTAGCAATAGTGTTGTAAAATATTATAAAAGAGTATGTTGGTCACTTTGTCTCCCCATATGATAGGCACAGATCATGCTCTCACAGGGCAAATGGGACAGTCTCTACAACTGGTTTGTTGGTATGAAGATATTTGTCAGGATTTTAATAATCCAGCATTTATATAAGTACAACAGCCTATTTTCTTGGGAAGTGAGGCGAACATTTCTATATAGATTAGCTAAACCACCCTTAACAACTGCAAGTATTACAAATTTCTGATTGCTATGTCTACATATCTTTGATTTATATAAGTTGGCTCCAATACTACATCTAACCTGACCTCTCTTTCCACTACACAATGAATGGGAGTAGATTTGAAAAAATAGTGCTTTAGGTGGCTCCATTTTTTTAAAAAAGTATATTTCTATTAGGTTCATCAAAAATTATTAAAATGCTTATACATACAAATAAAAGTTGTACTCTGGAACACTAAATTGGATTAGACATCACTTTTCTTAATATGTTAGACATTAAGTTATTTAAGTGTACTTACCTTTTGTGCATTTTCCCCATCTTCAATTGTAAAATCTAATCTGGCCTGCCTGGGATTGATCAGGTCTTTTAGTGTTAAACAATTCACCTCCATCTGAAATGCATAATTACTTTAGAAAACCATTTTATCATTAGATATTTTCCCCTCCAAAAAATATTTATTACTCATTCGTGAACATGAACTTCCCCTTCCCTAAACAACTCCTGGGTATTTCCAGGAATGCAGCCACCCTCCAACCAGCCTGTCTAAAACTCACATGGACACTTAAAATGATTAGTAATTACGAAATTCTGGGAAGAAAAAAAAATTAATATGAATTCTTTATGAAAAGCAAGAGGGCAAAATAAAGTTCCCAAGTCTGAAGGGTGTTGGGTAAATCTGTCAGAAAGTATAGGGTCTCTGCAGGTCAGTTAATTTTGGCGCAAAGAACTGGGAGGAATTAGGCTTTGAGGGGGTTTGAATCAGGGTGAAGGAAACCTGATCGCTAGAACAAACCCCCTCAGCTACCTCCGCAGCTCTTTCCCAGGCCTCCAGGCGGACCCCAAAGATACACCCCAAATCATGGGGAAGGGCCAGTCCATTTCACTGAGAGCTGGAGGCGACAGAGCCCCACGCGCCGGGTCCCGCGGTAGAGCACCTCAATCCTCCGCCAGCCTGGGAAGGAGAAGGGTGGCAGCCTGGCAGCCAGGCGGGAGGGTCCACTTTTCCCCAATTCCCGCCTCCCCACCAGCTCTGGGGCCGCACGCGTACTTACTCCCGCTTTGCGAAGGAGGCTTTCTGCCTCTACAGGGACCTGCGTGGCCCCACAGTGCGGGAAGAGGGTGCAGACATCAGCAGCCGGGCGGCGACATCGGCAGGGCAAGGCGAGGCAGGCAGAGCCCCGCTCCGAGTGCCCCGTGCTGGCGGGGACCCCGCGGCGTCCGGGAAGCGCCAGCGTTCCTACGCGGCGAGCTCGACTCCAGTCTGTACCGCGGTCCCCGCTAAAACACCTCCACTGGCGCCTTGAGACTGAATTTGAGCATCCGCCAATCAGAGGCGGCTGGCGGGGCGACCYCGGCCAATCGCGCGGCGGCAGGGCCCGGGCTGGCCGCCCCTCTCAGTCTTGGCGCTCCCAGCCGCGCGTTTCGCCTTCACCCGCCCAATTGTGTCCGCTTCGGCCCCCTCCCCCTTCCGGGTACCTGGAAACCTCGTCCCGGGAGCCAATGCGGGCGGTGGACGCGGGGGCCGSGGGAAGCAGCGGGGGCGGTGGCGCGGGGCGGCGGGAGGAGGAGGAGGAGGGCGCTTTTGTTATGCATAAAAGACCCGCTCACGTCCCCGCGGCTGGCGGCGCCCGGCACCAGGGGTGGGGAAAACAGATGGAGTTTGGAAAAACGATACACACACACACACCCTGGATGCTACCGCCGCCGCCCCTTCCCCCAGCACCCTGCGAGGTCGCGAAGTTGTCCAGACTTGCTGGGGCAAACTTGCTGACACCCAAAGGCTGGAGTGACACGTGAACCATGGTTACCACTTTACGGTTCGAGCAGATGGCACGCCGGTTAGCCCTGGAAACTGGACTGGAAGCCCAACCAAATGTTTCTTAACACCCCCCTCCTCCCGCCACCCCGCCCCAAGTCTAGGGATGTTTCTTGGTGTCGCCTTTTCTGAAGAGTGCAGGAAATTTCCTCAACATTGCTAATTTGTATTAAATGTTTCACTTCCTCCTTTGAATGTTAAGATTCAATACTAAAATAAGAATGTTAGTAGCAACAGTCTCCCCCTACCCCTAGAGATCTCTTTGTTCAGAACAGTTTTACAGAAAAATGGAAAAAAGTTATTTCATAGAGTTCCCACAGATCCAGCGCCCAGTTTCAAACACTGTTAACATAATAGTATAAGACATTTGTTAAAATCAATGAACCAATAATATACCAATTGGTATATTATTCTTAAAAGTCACTATTTTAGTCATATTTCCTTAATTTTTACCTAATAGCTTTTTTTTTTTTTTTCCTGTTCCTGGATACAACATTACTTTTAGTTTTCAKGTCTTCTTAGGTTTCTTGGCTGTCAGTTTCTTCATTTTTGACGACTTCCACAGTTTCCAAGAGTACTGGTTAGATATTCTGTAGGGAATCCTTCAGCTAGATTTTGAAGTGGTCTTTTTTTTTTTTTTTTTTAAAGCCTGCCTATGGACATTTCCCTACAAACTATGTACTTCATTGCAAGGCCAGCATTTTCATTATCCCTTCAGGGCTTCACTCTTCATCCCTCTGTCCTCAAATGTATGTGAGGGACCGACAGCAGAATTCACAACACCAGTCAAGTCCTTTACTTTTTATGCTATTTAGATTACTAGTAAAAATCACCACCAGGCCATATGTTAAAAAAAAAAAAAACATAAAAGCATGCAAAACATGAAACATAAAGATACTTTTTATAATAGAAATAACATTTTGAACTGAAATCTTTCTTATAGGAAGCATAGAGAAGTAAAAAGTAAATTGCAATTTATTCAGTTACATCCTTATGAAGTAGAGAATTTAGATGAAGAAACCTTTCCTTCCTAACTATTTCCTGTTGTGTGCCATGATATTCTAATAAATGACCACAAACTGGTTGGCTAAAAAAATTAGAAATTTATTCTTTCATTTTTGGAGGCCAGAGGTCTGAAAGAAAACAAGGTATTGTCAGGGCCTCACTTCCTCTGGATCCAGAGGAAAATCTAGATTCTCTTCCACTTTCTGGTGGCTCTTACCAGTCATTGACTTGTAGCTGCCTGCTCCAATCTGCCTCCCTAGTTACATTGCCTCCTCTTTTGTTCATTAAATCTACCCTTGGTCTCACATAAAGCACTTGTCATTGGGTATTCCAGGATGTTCTCATCTCACAATTCCTAATTGTTATAGTTTGGATACGAAGTGTCCCCCAGTCTCTCATGTGCTGAAGGCTGGTCCTCAATTTAGGAAAATTCAGAGGTAGAGCTTTTGGAAAGTATTTGGGTCATGAGGACTCTGACATCATCAGCAGATTACTCCGTTAAAAGCTGAATGGACTACTGGGAACTGGTGGAAACTATAAGCAGGTGGGGCATGGTAGGAGGCAGTAAATGGGGGGTATAACCTTGGAGTCTATATCTTGTCCCTGGCTCTTTCCTCATACTTTTTCTCTGCTTTCTGGCTGCCATGAACTAAGTAACTTTTCTCCACCATGCTGTGTGCCATGATATTCTACCTTACCTTAGGCCAGAGCAAAGGAATTTGTTGACCATAAATTGAAATCTCTGAAACCATGAGCCAAACTAAATCTTTATTCCTCTGTTGTTTGTGTCAGGTATTTTGGTCACAGTGATGAAAAGCTAACACATTAATTTAATTATAACTGCAAAAATCCTTTTGTAAAATAAGGAAAATGATCATGGGTTCTAGAGTTCATGATGTGGAAATGCTTTTTGGTGGGCCACCATTCATCCCTTCACATTATTAAAGTCCATTCATTTCTCAGATATTTCAAATTACTGTGTTTGTTTCTTTGAAGTTAGGCAGCTTTATGTTACCTTTTCCTGGCATATTCAGAATAAAAGTACCTTTTCTATTTCAATTCAAACATCTAATCAAATCAAGAACRCAGTTAGTATGTATCTTCAGGCACCTGAAGTTTCACTGATTTGGAGGAAAACTGGAAAATATATGGTTGATGGACAAATTCAGAGACATTATTTCAATACATTTATTAAATTGATGATTTTGAGTCTCAGATTTCATAGGTAATCTGTCAATCTCTCAATTATTCATCTAATGGCTATGTTGACTAAAAATTAAGCTAAGATTGCCCCTACATGTGGCTTCTCCACCTAGCCCAATTTTTCCAATATCATGGTAGTTCAGGGTAGCTGTATTTCTTACATGGTGGCTTCAAGGATTCAAAACAAGTGTCCCTTCCTGGAAAAGTGGATAGCCTTTTGTGACATAGCCTAAAACCTGAGATAGAATCAACCTATAATATTTTTTTGGATGAAGTCATCAGAAGGCCACCATATTCAAGGGAAGAAAACACATACTCCACCTCTCAATGGGAGAAGTGTCAAAGAATTTGGGGCCGTATTGAAAAACTGCCATACCAAGTTACATGCCAATGAAAGTATTTTCCAGTTCTATCTTACTAATGTCTACTTCCAAAGTCATTGACTTTGGAATAGCAGAGTATTACCTGTGTGGCAKCAATCCAGCACAATAAAGCATTGTGTATTGTACTAAGCTTGTGGTTCTCAACTGTCTATTCTTTAGATTCACCTGGGAAGATTTTTTTWAAATTCTAATATTTTGAGTTTCACACCCAGACATTCTTAATTTACTTGATCTGGAATTGAACTTCAGTAATTCTTTGAATTTTTTAATGTCCAGTTCCTCAGCATTAAGCTAGTTGTATGCTTCTTCATTGATTCCTTGAATGTTTCTGATCCAGTGGTTTTGGAAATGGATCTTCATGTCCCAGCAACGAGGACAGGAAGTGTTGTACAGATGTGCTATACTCTGGAATAGGTGCAGAGGTTTCCAAGGGATGGGTCTTGCTAGTTCATAGCTGTGTCACTAGTTTTTGGAAGGAGTCAGGGTTGTAAATGAGAATTTTGATGGGTGAAGTGGACATATAACTGAAGACTAAGTAATAAGGGATGTGACCAGGAGAATATGATGGTGTCTGACATTCCTCTGGGCAAGCAACATACTCCTTCTCAACACTACTTCTCAAACCTAAAATAGTCTTTTACCCTTTGGGAGTTCCAGCTTCCAAGATTTATAGAAATGAGATTTTGCACATTTTACAGAAAGAAGACACTATCATGAAGTAGAATTCTTGACAGCTCTAGAGCTAGACAATCTGGGTTGTCTAGTTAGTGTATAGCTTCCTCAAATATTTTGCTTTTCTTTTATTACTGCAAGCAGTAGAAATGAAGTGATCTTGTTGTGGCATCTTTATTCAAAATGTAGTCACAGAAGATAATTAGAAGCTTTTTTTTTTCAACTACATAGATAATGGAGGATCTTGGCTTCATATCCTGACAATTCTCAAGCCTTGCTGAGTGGATCTGTGTAACATATCTTCTTCTTCTTTTAATATTTATTTTTTAGTTGTAGTTGGACACAATACCTTTATTTTATTTATTTATTTTTATGTTTTGCTAAGGATGGAACCCAGGGCCTTCCATGTGCTAGGCAAGCGCTCTACCGCTCTGAGCAACACCCCCAGCCTTAGCATATCTTCTTAAATTGAGGGTCGCTGTTTAAAATGGGCTTTGTCTTCAGTCCTTCCTGGATTTGAGAATGTGATGAATTTGCTTCTCTAACTGCTAGAAAGTTAGAGAAGGCAGAACATTTAATTTTGACTGACCACAAGCAATGTGAAGAGAACAAGTCCAGTTGGCTCCTGCTCATGACCTTAGCAACAATAAAAGGAAGATAATACTATAGTTATAACTCCCATTCTTAAATGATATCCAGATGTCCAGCTATTCAAAGAGAGGGCCCTCAGTTGTGATTATATGATCCATAGGTGTCAGAGGGAATTCATTCTTTATCTTCTGCAGATCCCTGGTAATCCTTAGCACTAAGGAACAAGGCTGGTTTTCTTAATAGTGATGTGATTTTCATTCTCATCGAATGAGAAGGTAGAGCATTTAGTGTAGTATGTGTGTATGTGTGTTTGTGTGTTCATGCTGAAGGCAGGGATGGGGGAGGGAACTGTGCCAAAATAAACATGGACAACAACAAGTCAGGTGAATTTTGAGTTGAGTGTTTTGGGAATGGAGAGTACATAAAGTAGCACTTCTGYTGCAGGCTTTAACATGGCCATTTGGAGGTACTACAATGCATGGGACAATAAAAATGAGACTGATCTATGACACTGGAACTGACATTCTGTAGAAAATGGGCACGATAAGCTTCCCCTGAATCTCTAGTCTTATCCAGAAGGAAAGGACTTCACT